CTCCAGCCTCTGAGTCAATACTGAAACCATGTTCTGCCCTGAAGATGTGGGACTCTGTGCTGATGGAGGAGCCATCTTTTAGATGAGAAAGAGAGAGATTTGATAACGCAGGAAAGACCCCAGGATGCTCTTTCAGAAGAACTGAGAAATAAAACTTAGCATCCTGACTGAACACCAATATGGATAACTATATTTACCAACATAAATATTTTCTATAGTTCCCTTGGTGCTGGTATTTTTCTTTACCAGTTCACAACTGCTGAGTAGATTGCTGTGAGTTATTAAGTATCTAGGGTTCTGTGACCGAGGGCATGTCTGCACTACTGGTGCTATAGCACGCTGATGTTGTGCAAATTTTAGATGCTTTCCTACACCAAGGGAATCGTTTATTAAAATTCCCTTAGCCTAAGTAATCTAATTCCCCAAGAGGTGATAGCTAAGTCAATGGAAGAATTTGATCAAGTTGAGTCTACACCAGGGTAAGGTTGTGAATTTTTCACACTCCTCCTGCATGTTGTCATGCAGACCAGCTCTGGCCCCAGTCACAGCTCCACTCTGCCCTCATTTTCTCTCTAACTCCAGGCCAGCTCTGCTTCTAGCACCAGCAAGTCCCCCATCCCAGTTCCACCTTCAGCTCCACCCTCAACCCAGACTGTTCAGGGCTCAGAATTTTCAGCACAGGGGAAACACTGATTTTGCAGTCTGTCTTCACACATGAGAACAGGGCTGCTCAACTTATGAAGCCCCCGGGGCCACAGTGATACTCACAGCACATGCCAGGGGCCGCAACTTAAGTGTGGTTACATATACATGCAAATATATATGCAAATAGGTTCTTTCACTCTGATGGGCATGAATACAAAGATTAAGGCAAGACTACACAACATGCAGGCCCCATTTTACTCTGATATTAATAAAATGCTCTGATAAATAAAATGTTCTGCTGATATTAATAAAATGCAATATTTACCCAATTTCCACCCATAGGACAACACTTTTAATGAGCAATGATAGTCCAGAAATTGAACTACTAAAATGCATATCAACAGAGGACCATTATATTGACTACTAGATGTTTCTATTGAACTGCCATTTGAACTATGACCAACAGAGGCTGCTAGTCTGGGCTCTGCTTCATCATTGCTTGTGCTGGTTGTATGGAGAGGGAAAAAAGAAGCTTATGGGGCAGGCAAGGCTGCTGTGGTCCAGCTGCTAAGTCAGGTCCTACTCACCCCCTTTATCCCCTGCACTAGGATGCAGCAAAGGCGAGTAGCGGGGGCAGAAAAGATTCTAATATCATGTGCCCTGCCTTGTCATCTCCAACCTGTTGCATCTCCCCATCCTCCACTCTTGCTGTGATCCACTACAAGGACAGGGGAAGCAGTTGGCTGGAGGCAAACACTGAAACAGGGGTGGTAGCTGGGCAGAGAGCAGTGGCAGTGTCTAGAATTGGGTGCAGGAAGTTGGCAGAGGTGCTAGGGAAATATCCCACTGATGAGTCAGTAGTAAAGAAAGGAACTTTCCCCTTCTCCTTATATGCGTATTACTATTTTATTTATTTTCTGTATTTCAGGCTCTCTCCTGAAATTCCCATGTTCAAAAAAGGGAGGGTGGCCCTGCATACTCACCCCTCAGAAAGAAGACCCAAAAGAAATGTTTAAATTCAAAACAAATTTCATGAGTTTCCAACTAAGCTCAGGATGTGTGTGTCTGGGTTTTGTGTGATTATTTTTTAAATTGTAGGGCTCACAGTACTGCTGTGCATGTATGGGAATGATACAATGGATTTAAAATACACAGAACTCTGGAGACTCTTTTTGCTTATCCTCTCTTTTGCTCCCATGTTACTCAGTTGAGTTAATCTGAATTTACATTCATACATAATGAAGGAGAATTTGAGTCAATTGTTTCTATATTGCTGATCGTTACATAACATGGCTGAATAACCTTTAAGTGTAGCAACTGTACCGTAGATAGTACACTTTTAACCCTAGCTCCTCAGATGGGGTCTGCACTATTCATTTTTACTTGTCTCTATCCAGTTCAAGTTCATGGTGATAAATCTAGCTTATAAGGCATTTACAAAGATGGGTGTGGTGTGCTGATAGCTTTCATGATTAAATGCTTTCCTGTGTCAAATATAGCCTGTAATATACTACAAACAGGCAGTTGATTTTTATACAAACAGATCTGGCTGCTATCAGGCTCTCTGACATTTTATATGAATACTTAAAATAAATCCAGAAACAGGAAAGAAAGTACAAAATTATTGTTTTAAGCTAACTGCGAGGGCTTATCTTCAAAGTGGCAGAGTTTTCTATTGTATTTGGAGAAACTGCTCACTACACTGGCATAAAGGTTATTAGCAATGTGAGAGATTGGAGTAAAGTCCAGGCCCAGTTTTCACTTGTTGTATGTAGAATCCATTTGGTTTGACTGTGAACACTACACAAAGCCATTGCATTATTATTGTTGGTTTTTAAATTTACTAACTTTGGAGCAAATCCTAGTCCTGCTCCAAGCAGTGGGAATTTTGCCACTGATTACAGTGGGGCTAGGATGTTGGCAAAACACGGCAGTGTATTAGGGACAAGACAGATATGTATTTGAGCCAAGATCAGATATTCCTAGTGACTTTTATGTGCTGTAAATTTTGGCTCCCAACCTCAGACTGGTTCAGTGCCTGATTTGTAGATAATGCTGAACACCCAATCTTCTGAAAATCAGGCCGCTTCAAGAAAGAGGGGCAACCAGAATTTTACTTCAGAAGGGCCTCATGTCAAGTGTTCCTGGGGATTCCTGGGTGCCAGAGCAGCTCCTCCAGCTCCCTTTCTAATTACAGTCCCCAGTTCATGCACACAGTTTTACAGGGAATGATTCAGAGGGGTGGAAATATTGATTGACCCTAAACAGTATTTCCATTGTACATCTTCACAGTTCCACAGCCTCTGGGAACTGGGGCCTCTCAGCATGTTGGAGCCGTGTATAGCATATGGAGCCCTGCCAGCCATGATGTAGAGCAGGGCATGACTGCCAATCTCTACCCTTCCCAGGCTGCCAAGGCCTGAAGTATCAAGTTCCTAGGGCTTCCTCTCCCCTGGGAAAGGTTAGACCAACTCCTTCTGCCCCACGTGACTAAGCTCCTGGTGAGTGGTAGCCCAAGGGCTGTGATTCCTGGAGCTGGGTACCTCAGGCCATGGCTGACTGCATGGGGTGGGGGTTGGCAGACCCTGAAGGGGCTTGAAGTCCAACTTGAAGGTACTCCAGGATGTCACCTGCTGCATACCCCAGAGGCCAGGCCTGACCTATGCTGGGCTTGGATGTACTGAAATGCTGCTTCTTCTAGTAGTTGTCTCTGTGGACTTTTTTGCCTTCTGCCACAGGGGGAGCTGAGTCCCCTCCTTGTACTGCTGCTTCAAAGTGTCTCAGGTTGGCCACCCACAAACCAAGTTGCACAAAATCACTAATCAGCTTTGAAAATGTTGAGCCCCTAAAATATGTAACACAGTAGGCACATTAGTAAGGATGAGAGAATAGAATATACTCTGTGATAAGATGCTTGAGAAACTGAAACAGTCATCTAGATAAAAATCAAATGTATTAAAAAATGAATGCTTTAATGAGACTGGAAAAAATACATTTGATCCTTGTAACTGAAGGGCACTTGACCAGGGGTGTCTGTCTATGGAAGATGGAACTCAAATATAAGACACGATAAGAATTGATTTATGCTTTCCTGGTGGTCCTTCACAAGCCAAAAAGAAATTAAGCAATCATTGTAACTTGGACCTAGATGTGGATTTGACAATCTAATCAGGAAAAAACTGTGGGCCCTTAAAAGTTAAAACAACCAAACAAAAACAGTGTGAAATGTATTACATTAACCTTCATGTAAAACAAGAAAAAACCTTACAGAGTTTTATAAAGAGTAAGGGTAATTTCAAAAGAAGGGTTTTCTTTCGAAATAACCGTGTCTAGGCAGCGTTTCTTTTTTCGCAATAGGGTATTTCAAAATAGTGCCCAGATGTGATTATGCAAATGAAGCACGGGAAATTCAAATCCGCACTTCATTTGAAATCTTGCTCAGCCACATTTGCATTCCTCTCTCGAAAGAGGAATGCACTGTAGACATATCCTTTGACACTAACAAAATATATATCTCTAATATTACGAATTTTTGAGGGCAAAACCTGCTTCTTCAGATGAGCTGGAAGCATTGGTAGATGTGAGCCAAAGGCATCCACAGAACTAAAACAATATCAGTGTGGCTGCAAACATCAGACCGGGAGGTGATAGACTAATAATTCCTGGAATTTGATCAAACCATCTAGACAGTCTTTTTTAAAGGCTGAAATGCAAGATGGAAGGGAAAAGATGTTTTAAAGAATTTGAGAGGCATTTGCCAGACGTCTGCAGCATTGCAATTCTCACTGTTATGGAACCCTGCTTTATGGTTTATCTGGGGTAAAGACCTTTGTAATTAAATCAGTATTAACTGTTGTGTCACTCACTGCTGATAGATAGCCAAGGAAATGATAATACAAATTAAGCTAGGAACAGACTGCAGGCATTAAAAGAGTAAAGAATAAAATTGTAGCATGGGGTTAGTAGTACATATAATTCTTCCACAACAGTAAACCAACACTGCCTGCTCAATAGCCATTCAGTCATGCTGGCTCTAATGCTCTTTTTTGTTAACACAATCCCCGTTTGTGGTGAGGATTTTGACAGCCACTTCATTACACTGGGACTCTGCTGAAAGGTGGTGGGAGACAATCTCCTTGCCTGTTTAATCATCTGTGTTCATTAGCAAGTGCAAAGATCTCAAAGCCTTGTTTGTGTTTTCCTGCTAAGAGGAAGATGCAGCTCTTGCTTTACCTCAGCATCAGTCAAATATGGAGAGAGGGGGTAGAGGCAGCTGGGTTGCCCCCACAGAGACAACTCAGGATCATGAGGCATTAGACACTGTGTCAATTCTACTTAAGTTTTTTTTTAATTACCTGATTAGCTGGCAGCCCAACAGTAGCAGCAAATTGGAGGTGTGTATCTGAGGGGCAGTCATTGGAGCCACTTCCTGCCGTGCCAGTACAATGCTTCATCAGGCTTAGGCCTGTCTTGAGACTAGTGGCTGCTTAGATAATCCAGTGGGGGACTAGTGGAGGGGAAACTCCTTAACATGATTCACACATTACCTGAAACAATAGTCACAGCACAATTTCAGATTAGAAAATGTAATTACACTGATAAATTGTTTACCACAAAATTGTTTGAAGTTTTTCAAAGGCTTTATTTGCAAGCAAGGCAGTATCTCTCCCATTGTGTGTTTTGTGTACTGGGCGAAAAGATAGTGGCATGAACTCTAAGAAAAGGACCCTCCCTCAAATCATCAAGCTTTGAAAAAAATGTTTATCACACAAGCCTAGAGTCACATGCAAGTTTTTAAAATGTAATAAAATTTAAATCTATGGGTGCCACTGATCGATGCAATTTGAAATTGGACTCTTACGTTTTTCAAGGATTGATGACTTGATCCTGGGGATGCTGAAAGGAAAGGGAGCTTTGCGCAGGATTAGAGTTGTACACTATGGAAAATCCCTAGGTGTTTAGGTATCAAAATAATTTATCAGATAAAAATTCTACAGTTGGTGGGGAGAGGAACATGATAAATAATTTCTGGGCCATTTAATGTCAGGGAAGACAAAATACAGCTATTTCTGTGCTAATTAAACTTAACTCACAATCCGAGCTGTGCTAAACCAGCCCAGACTGGAGCTAACCTAGGCTGATTTATAGTTTTGCACCCAAACCACACAGAGCTCAGCAGCTCCGAATGATTTTCCTTCTGAACTTGAAATTCAAAGCTAAACTGGATGCCACATAGCTGTCTTAAAAGGTGAAGGGCCATACTCTTATATGCTTGTGTACCTCTGGAAGCAAAAACTGACCTGAAATATTTAAATATTGAGACTTTTAAATGTTTGAGACCAAAATTGTGGCATTAAATTCCTGCTTCCCCCTTTCTCACTCTTGAGGGGAAAAGAATCCAAAATAAATTACATCTGTTACTTGGGGTATCCATTCCCTGGGATTATAGGACAACATCAGTACCCTGATGCAAAGAGAGCCCTGCCAGAGTTTGAGTTCAAAACAGGTTGGGGTTGGCTGATGTTTGTGGTTAGATCCCAACTCCAAACAAGAAGATCTTTGAGTTGGGTTTCCTATCCTATCCTGTTGAGAAAGCATTTTAAAGTTGAACCTTGATAAAACTGGAATCCTAAATTTAGAACTCAGCTAATGTGTGATGAATAAGTTGGTAATTGGGTCCAGTTCTCTGTATCTGAACTTGCTGCATGGTTTTGGTTTCAACACCAGAATATTTCAGATTTGTGCTTGGGATAAAATCATGAGAGAATCTGATAAAAAGACCCTTCTTCATTTCCTTCCTTTTAAAATCTCAGACCTGCCTACACCCCCACTGATCACCTTCCCCATATCCCAGTCTCAGCCTTCCACTTTACTCACTTTTAACAATTATTTATCTTAAATGAAACCATTAAGACTAGTACATAGCAACTCCTTGACTGTAAATTTGTGTATGCCTCATTCCCCCTTTTCTAAGGGTATGTCTACACAGCAGTGTTATTTTGCATCTACACTATAAGCAGTTAATTTTGACATAATTGTCAAAATAATGGCAAGTTGGAGGACTTCTTACTCCAACTCCTATAACCCTCATTTTACAAGGAGTAAGGGAAGTTGAAAGAAGAGTGCTCTTCCTTCGACTTCCTGCTGTGTAGACAGTGCCAAAAGCCGAAATGAGCTATTTCAACTTAAGCTACGCAATTGTAGCTCAAGTTGCATAGCTTATTTAAGCTTTAGCTCCGCTGTGTAGACTACCCTAAGTGATCGTTTGTGATATGTCTTTAAGTCAGGGCTTCTCTGCCTTAGTAAGGAGGGGGGAAAAGAGATAAGGGAGGATCACCAAGGACGAAATTTGTGTAAAATTTGGCCAAAAAAGATTTGGAGTAAAATTTAGAAAATGCCCCTCATTGGACCTGTTATACTATTTGTACCACTTAATGTGAGTAAGAGTGGCTGAAAAGGCCCCAATATTTGCCAAGACATTTTCTTTTCTCAGACTGAAGCAGGAAGTTTTGAAAAGGCTCCACCCATATTAAGCTTTCATTCCCCTCAATTCAGTGTTTTTCTTCCCCACTAGTTCATAAATAGTTTAGAATAGGGGTGGGGGACCTTAGGCCTAGGATCGAGGCTCAGGGCTCCCTCCAGTGTTGGGGAGTCCGAACTAGTGCTCCAGTCTCCCTGCCACCCACCACAAGGCTGGAGCACACAAATTTACTAGTCTGGGCTCCTCTAGGCTCTGGTGTGCAAGCTGAATGTGAGGAGAGCCTCTCCTTCTCAGTCAGGGGCCATGTCAGTGAGGGTTTGAGATTTTATTTTTTTGCTTCTCACTTGTGTGCGGCCCCTGACTGATTTTTTTCTGTGGGTCAGCGGCCCACAACCCAAAAAGTTCCCCACTTCTGGTTTGGAGTGACTGTAGATTTGTTACGTTTTCTTCAGTGGTGAACATTGAAGTAAATGATGGTGGAAGAAGAATGTAAATTTTCCCCTAAATTACACCCAAGCAAGAGCAGATCTATTCTGACCTGCTAGCATGTTTTAAACATGGTGTCTGTTGCCAGTGTGAATGGCCACAAAGCCCTATTTTCCAAAACATAGTAATATCTCAGGATAGTGTAAAAGTGGTTTGGTCTTGCCTGTGCAGTCAGGCTCAAATGCTGTTTTGATAGTTTTAACCATGCTGTTGAATTGTGTGCCAGCTCTGGAAAGTTCTGGAGGAAATCCAGCCCCAATGTGAGGACAAAGGAATTCAAACTTAGTGACAGGTCTTTACAGGGATGCTCTTTATTTAACAACGTAATATTTTGTTCTGAACATTCCTGTTCTGTTCTGTGTTGATTCATGTAGTTACATCTATAGTATGATTTCTGAACACAGATCCACCAGCTCTAGGAAAATTAGTCTTTGCTGGTTATCGGTTTTAGCAATGGGTGTAGATGAGCAAGTATTGAATATGGTTCAGCTGCCAATGCAGATGCAGGTAAACCATGTTCAGTGTTGTTTCTGCTTATAGCTAATCACCCTGTATGCACTGATTGTAAAAAATGGGCAGCCTTCCTAGTGGAGATGAGGAAATTGTGTATAAAACATGGTTGTTTAACATGGTTAAGGATGGTGCCAAAATATTTTAGAATCAGATTAAAGATCACCTTTTAACCATCACCTTTATCAAGTTCCCTAGCTGTGTGCTCACTGCTAATATGTCCCATTTCATTGGCCAGAAGTGACCGTGTTGTGTAGGCTCAAATTATATTGCAATTGTGCCTTTCAAACAAAGGGCTTCCAGTGGATGGGGCCAAATTACAGTAAGAAGATGTTTGAAAATTACAAAGCCTAACACTGCAGAGTAAGTCTGTGCATACAAGCATGGAGCTTCCTTAAGAGTATCTTCTATGTTTCAATTTGTCTGGAGGAACGATATGTATGTATCAAACCTACAGACTGTAATAACTGTAAACAGTGTAATGTGCATATTAGTTAACACAGCATATCCTACCCTGAAACCCATATGGGTCCAACTCATTGGAGCCACAGTCCTATCCACCTTGTATGCACCTAGTGGCCTATATGAATCAATTTGTAATGGCTTGTAAATGCATGCTCCTACATCAATTTGTTCTTGACCAAAAAGCTGGTACTGTCAGTCTCAGCGATAGCATTTGAAGTTCTGAAAATCCTAGCCTTCACACAGAGTGATCAGGGAAATCTTTCTGTTAAGCTCACCATACTATTGGGTTTATTAATTACTGTTTTTACACCCTGCACCCTTTTCCACAGGTTCAGTGAAAACTCATATTCACTAGTCCTCATAGCTTTAGACCATCAGGGCAGCTTAATTAGTCAGCAGCCTGGGAGAGGGAAGCCTCTATGAAGTTTCCCATATACCTAGCATCTGTCAAATTATTCTATAAGGAGAGGAGAGAAAGATTCTCTCTCTCCCCTTCTCCCTGCCCATCAAAGCAGCAGTTTCACCCTCCCTCTATAACCCCTGTAGATTCCCTGATATCTGTGCAGACCTCACAGATGTCTCTAGAGGCTATAGAGCCCTCCTAATGGAGTCCTTTAGCCTTTGGAATGACAGCAGGGATTCCTGCCCACCCGCAAAGTCCCAGCTCCTTGCTGCTCTCATGCTAGGGCTTACACCACACAAAAAAGGAGACATGGTTACATCAACTTTTGTTTGACTGTACTGCTATCGGCAGGGGGAGGGACAATGCATGCTTCCCCAACCTGGAGCTACTCAGGCCCACCCTGTGCCCGGAAAGCTGGGATTGTTGAGAATCAGGTATTCACTGAAGATTTATTACTTGGATTTTAAAGTCCCTAGCGAGGTCTCACCTTCTCAGCAGTAAAAATTAGCAGCTCACTCCACCAGCAGTTCTGAACCATGATGCCACTCTGTGGTTAACTCGTTCTTAATAGTCCATTGGTTTCTGTAGCATTTTTGGATATTAATGGTTGCCAACAAAGAAGCCCCACTTTATTTCTTTGTGCGCCTGTCTTAGAGCAGTCTTTCCAAGTGAATACCATTGCACATGTCCACTTCACATTGTACAATGATCCAGGATCTTCTCTTCTGTTGAAGGCCATATCCTACAGTTTTTCATCTTAAATGGGTGTTAATTGTGCATCGTGACCTCCCTCCAGTGATCTCCCTCCAGGTCTTTGAGTGAAATATCCATCCAAGTGAAATAGTTTGATAAGTCCAAGGTTAGTTTTCCAGATTTGTAACAGCAGCAGGTCTCAAATCCTAAAAAGAGATTTCTCTGGCATGGGGTAGAATACAACTCTTGAAGAAAAGAAACCAGTGATCTGAAATGCTTGTCCCATCCATTTAATAAAACCCCCACTACTTCTGCAGCCAATAGATGAACACCCAGGTATGACTGTAATAGGAATATCCTAGTGTGTGCAGCACTAGAAGCCACTGAAAATGTGAAGGGGGTCTGAAAAACTGGTACTTAATGCACTGATCTTTGGAACCTTCACAATGAGGCATTGTTAGGTATAGGATCTGCTAAACAATGAGTCCTTGATAGGGCATAATACCTATTCAGAAGCTCAGCTTTGCACACTTGCTCTTAGAACATCCTCAGCTCAACCTAAATTTACCTTTGTTGCACACAATGCACATGTGACAGACTGCTACATTCATTCATCTATTTTATTCAAATTACTGACAGGCTTACCTACTCTGACTGCTGTAAAACTGTGACTGTTTCATATGGGTCCTTTAAATCAATAAAATTGTGAGTCACCAGCTGTTGAACTTGCTACTATCAGTGAGAGAGCTCAGTGACACCAGAATGTAATGGGTTAAAGCTTAAAAATGGTGCAAGAGAATATAACTTGTTAAGTAGTTGGCTTTGGCACATACCTTCTACACACTCTCAGAACAGTTTTTCCTTTTGAAAAACAAGTACAATATACAGCACATACTGTACTTTGTTACTGATTTCATCATTAACTCAAATGTACTGTTTGTTATTAGCAATCGGTTAAACGCCTCCTATTACTGCAGGCTGATCGCTAGGCTTCTAGGGCAGGAAAAAGTATCCGGGACACAGTATTCTCACTGTGCTTTATGTACTCTGCCATTCATACAAATTCTTCATTACAGAATACATGCACACAATATGAAGATTTCTTTGTTACAGCTGCAGTTGACAGTTGCAAAAGTTTACAGTAAAACACTGTGTCCTGCTGTTTCATGATCTTGAAAATTCATTTCTCTCAAAGTTCCTTTGAAACAGCCTTTTCTCCAACAAAACCAGTTCACATGTTAGATGGTTCTTGTATAACTTGATTTTTTTTAGTTGTCCAAAGCCAATGTAATAATTTGAAATTTAATCTTTCTCTGGAAAATGGGATTATTTTGGAGGTGAAGCATTGTAATTTTCCTCTTTTTAAGGTAAAATTGAACCATCTTCAAAATGAAATATCCAAATGTTGTTTTCAAACTTTTAGTATAAAATTTGTGCATATTTGAAGTTACAGTTATCTACTGCATTTATTTGAAATATGAGTACTGAAAGTACCACTACAGAATGTGGGGAAATATTTCTTGGCCAGGTAGAATGTTCAGTTTTGGAAAACTACTTTCTGTAATCCATGGGATATCCCAACAGTATACCGCAGTCTCTATTGCTTTAACTAGAGGTCGTACCTTTCTAACCACCTTATAGAAGTGTATTGCCTGTGGTCCAAAGGTTCATGAGTCACATCTCAGCTGCAATATGCACTCAGCATATTGAAGGATTCTGCTAATGGAACAAGTCCATTCTTGTCCTTTGGACTAGTCTGTTTTGGCTGGCTGTCAGATGAGAGACTGCACAATACTTGTCCTTATAATGCCAAGGTTAACTGTGTTTAGCGAGGAAGCCCTGGGTAACTCGAATATAATGAGTTGCCTATTAAAGGGAACTGAGGGGTGAACGGTGTGTATTGGCCCTATTGCATGAACATTGATTTTGACCTGATGTCTTCTTGATAAGTAAGAAGTCAATTCCCACATGCACTTTTCCAAAAAAATTAGTGGACACAGAAGCGTGAATTAAAAAGTAGATGCCTTGGAGACTCCTGAAAGCAAATATATCACAACTCTGTCATAAAAGAAGGGAATGAACATCTTAGCTCAAAATTGGATAAGGAGAAACTTCATTTACAGCTCTTGAAACCCCCTTTTAATGCTCACATTTGGTGCTGTCCTAGATATTGTGTATTTGTAAGGGCAAAGGCTAGTCTGCTTCTTACACCTATTTCCGAATCCTTTGATACTTTCCACTTATCCCCTTACCTCCTACAGTGCTTTAAAATGACTTTTGGTATTTACATGTTTGATAGTGAAAAATATAAGTCTGCCTTTTACACATTGCTGAAGGTAATGTTGCCAAAGGGCCTGATCATTTGAGATTTGAGGGAGGTAATGCCACTGGGATGTAAATAAGGTGCTTAGAGAGGTGATAGACACATGTGCTGTGTATTGACACACTCAGCTACGTGATGGCAGGACAGTGTCTATGGGCTAGAATCTACAAAGAAATAATCCAGTAGTAATTAGGCTCCTCTTCTATTTTTAGAGTTGTTTAGTGGCAGACATTCTTGTGTCAGATGTGATAGATCACCTCTGAACTGGTTGGCTGCCACTGTGGGGAGGAGACAAGCATAATGTTCTCTCTTGGTGGTGTTTTGGACAGGTTTTGTTTTTGTTCCCTAAAGTTCTGGAGGTAGCATAAGGGGAAGTCTATGAGCAGCCTGTTGGTCTATATTCCTTAGTGCTGGTAAAATCAAGCAGGGGAGGTAAATGACATTTTTTTAAGTTTGTTCTCATGTTGAAGTGAATGAGCATCAATCCGTCTTAGGCATTGATATGTCCCTCTCTTCTAAAGTGTCAGTCTATAATGTATTATCCACACAAAGTCCTTGGGAAGTAGGACAGGCTTGGACATGGGTGGGCAATAATTTTTGATAGTGGGGGGTCTCTTCAAGAACCTAGTAAGTGGTCAAGGGCTGCACTCTTCCATTATATTAATGGAGGATCTGGAATGGAGGTTGGGGGCAGAAGGGATCTGGGATTGAGGTTGGGTACAGAAGGGAATTCAGGGTAGGGGACTGGGGTGTAAGAGGGGATGTGGGGTCTGTGAGAGATTTTGGGTCAAGGAAGGGGATTGTGGCCTTGGAGGTGTAGGAAGGGGTGCAGGTGTTTGGATTGGAGGGGTATAAGTGCAGGAGCAGGGGCACAGGGTGGGGAGGGCAGAAGAGAAGATGAGAGAAGAAGGGAGTGACGTGCCAGATGCAGGCTCTGGCTAGATTTTAGTGGTTCCCAAACTTTTTGGCATCACGCCCCTTTTTGATTTTTGAGAAACCCTCATGTCTCCCCTCCCCCCAAAATAGCAGCAAAACTTGAGGTGGGATTGATGGGGGTGTGTGGGGCTGGGACACCTTGTGCCCCCCCTGGAATTTCTTCACGCCCCCCCCCCACTAGAAAGTGCTTACCTTGGGCGGCTCCTAATTGGCAGCCAGTGGGACTTTGGGGCATCCTCCTTGCCTGCCACACTTCTGCTTTCTGCTCAAAGCAGCTGGCTGGGGGGCTGGGGGGACATGTGTGGGGGGACCCCTCATAGTGGGGAGCTCTCATGCAGTGCCTATCGTGCAAGCACTGCAAGATTATGCTGGAGTCAGGGACACCCCACACAGGGGTGCTCAGTGTACAAAGACACACACATGACCCCCGCAACTGGCCACTTTGAGCGGTGTGCAGGGGTGTGGCCAGAGGGGACGACAGCCACCCTGAGCCCCAGGACAAGGTGAGGGAGAGCAGCTCCATGCCCCAGAAGGGGCAGGGCAAGGGGCAGAAGGGACAGTGCTGAGAGCAGTCAGCTCTTAGCACCACCCAAACTACAGCACACTCCCTCCCCTCAGCCCACAGAGCTGCATAGAGCAGTGCTCCAGTGCTTCACCAGCAATTCAAAGGGGCCCGGGGCTTCTGCCATCACTGCTGCCACAGTAGCAGTGGTGGCCAAGCGCTCTAGGCCCCTTGTAATTGCTGGGCCCTAGGGTAATTGCTCCCTTTGCCCCCACCCCTTGTTGGCAGGCCTGTGTGTGGCAAGCAGGGAGTCTGCCCAAGGATCCCTCTCAGCTGCGGGACGGTGGTGTGCCAGATCTGCTGGTTTGGCAGGTTGGATCAGGTCTGTTGGATGTATTTTGCCCGCCCCTGAACTCTGATTTATTTTAATATAGCCATCTTGCACACAGTCCTTCCCCACACACCACTTCCACCACCTCTGCTTGCAAATGTGGAGCTGAGTGAGAGTCAAAGGGTGTGTCTACACTTCAGGGCTTTTAGTGACAAGGCTGTGTCGACACAGCTCTGTCACTAAATGTCAGCTTCTGCAAATGCTGTTCGTTGGCATGTTTGCCAACAAAATACTTCCACCCCCGAGGAACAGATTTTGCTTTGTTGGCAGCAAAGTGCTCCTGCCAAGAAACCAGCATTCACACTTTCACTTGCCATGTCAAAACTTTGTCATTCATGGGGCATGGGTTAAGCACTCATGAATGAAAAAAATTTTGCCGATCAAGTGCAAGTGTAAACGTGATCTAAGCCCCAGTCCTACAAGTTACTGCCCTAACCATTGAACCATCCTTCCCCTAGCTGCCTTTGTGGCTAGTGGATCATTCACTGTATACTGATGGTTCTTCTAAAAATGGACTTGACCTGGAACTCTTGACCCCAAACCTCTTTGAGACAGCTGGGATCTGGATCTGGTTCTGATATATGAAGCTCTGGTCCAACTTAAACTTTTTTATATGATCTTAAAATTCCAAATTTTGGCTAGAAGAATGTGTAGATGTTGCTTGCTCTGCTGCTTTGTTTTTCTTTCTAACAGTAAGTGTTGAAATACTGAAGCCTGTCTGTTTAGACTGTGTAGATATTTTGCTAGAAAACAGCTTAATTGTACAGGGTGAAGAGTTAAGGTTTATTTTTGTGCATCTCTGTTTTTAGCTGCAAGTTGACATAGCTGGCTAGTGGTGGAAGCCCCTTTGTCTGAAACATCCCTTATCCTATCTGTCCCTTGAGCATACTGTGTGCCAAATTATCATCCCTAATAGGCTGCATGATTTTCTGGATAGAGGAAACATCTTGAAAAGTTTGTTAAATGTGTTATGTCAGAGAAAGTGTTTCATGGATCTTTTATAGTGTACACAAGGACATCATTGGCCCAAGTCTGAAGTGCTATATTCCCCAAGCTCACCTGTTCAGCAAAATGTTATTCACAGCATCTGATTATCCAACTGTGTACACTTGCCTGCCATTTTTTCAGAGATACTTACGCAGTAGCGTTTTGCAATGACGACAATTCTTTTCCTGTCTGACCTAGAAGACTACAGTGACTCAGTGCTCACTGGTCAGCCTTAAAGATTAAATCGAGGACACTAACCTAATTACTTTAACAGTTATTTTAAAGGATTTCCCAAGAATGAACATCATGACAAAATGTAGTTAAGGGGATTTTAGTAACTCCTGAAACTGAAGCTAATGATGCAACCCAAGATGTACTTCACTTTAAAGCTACAAATTGCCAATTTCTTAAACAAATAATCAGTATTGTGAGGAATCTTGTGAGGCAG